TCGTGTGTGGGGGGGGGGGGAGGGGGGGGGGTTGACAATTCTGACTGTTTAGGAGGAAACATTACAGAATTGAAGGTAAGAATGTAAGTGTAAATCTAAACTGCAGAGACCTGAGGGACTGTCTTCACTGCATTGTTAGCTTGAGCCATAATTCAAGAGTTAGCCTTAATTTGACTTCTATTCACACTAACACATGTCTCTGGATCAAGTTAAGCAGTAATAGCTTTAAGCTTGAACTAGCTGGCCTGCCAGAGGGGGCACATTGAAGCACTAATGCTACAAATACTCAAACTAGTAATGCAGTAAGGATGCAGCAACCCGAGTTACAACAACCGCCTAATTCAATCACTTCCCTATTGCTATGCAATGTTGTCATGCTCACTAAAGCTAGGCTAGCACAAGAGCAGTAACTCAGGTGTCCTAACTCAAGCTTCACTGAGCAGTGAAGACAAGCCCTTAGGCCAATTAGCTTTCCCATTGGAATGATTAAAAGAATAACAAAAGAGTCAGGAAAATTATAGCAGAGACTTTCCATTTCAGCTCACTGATTTTTGACGTCTAAGTGTTCGGGGAGCCAACAAGAGGAATAAAAAGTGGAAAGGAAGCTATTTCATCTGCCTTCTGTACTGCTGCTAATAAGGTATATTTGTCACTTGATTCATGTCTATAACCACCATGAAACTTGACAGCCCTAAAGTGAGCGATAAAGTCCCATCTTGGACTAAAACCTGGTTAATGATAGAAAATAATTAGAAATTAATGATCAATACTCACCATAAACAGAGATTAATGAGGGTCTGTTTTAGAAGTGTGGATCAGCACAAGGACTATTCCTGTTCAGTATATTTATTAACATCATGTATGAGAGGGCGACCACTGAGATTGTGTTGTTTGCTGGTACTACTAAATTATATAGGTCAATTAAAACTAAGGGATTGGTGTGAGAAACTGCAGAGGGGGTGTGGGGCAACACAATGTCATGTGAAATTGACTATAAACAAGCGTAATGTGGAGTAATCCAATTCAAACAGCCTGTTATTTAACTGGATTTTCTAGGTACCTGTAACCTCAAAGCATCTTTATGAACTGTTTAGTGAATATGTTTGCCCAATGTGTGGTAATAGTGAGCAAGGTAAATAAGATGTTACGCTGTTTGAAAAAAAGAACAGTGATTAATATTTTAGGCATTTTAATCAAAGCCTTCACCTTAATGTATGTACAGCTCTGGACATCTTATGAACCAACACATGTAACACAAATTTTAAGTGTGATCTTTTCCAGCACAGCCCATACTATGTTCCTATTAAAATGGGATGTGTGCATTAAGAACAGAAATTGGCCATGCTACTTGTTTAGTTCTGTTCTTGGAAATGGGGTGCACTTTGTAATCTGTTGTGTCAAGCTGACTGTTGCACAGGTATGGTCACTGCACTTACAATGACACCTCGGTACAGGGGGGTACCTATGTACACACAAGGAAACTCCAGCTGGTTTCAGATAGGCCAGAAGCTGGAACGATGAAAGCTGTATTTATGTGAAACCAATGGCATCAAATTATGTAACTGGAATGGAGGAATTGCAGCTACTAGCACATAGACTTGGAAAAGCAAATGGTGGGGTAGGGTGAAGCATAAAGGGAAGATTACAGAGGACTATCTAGAAATCCTATGTCCTATGGTTGATGGATGTCTTACATTTCCCCAGATCCTCAGCAATCTGCGCACATAGAGCCTGATAGCTTTGTCTATATGCAGCTGGATCAGATTTTGCCCATAGTGAAACACATTCACATGTCAGAAGGTAGCAGTGTGCCAAAAGTAGCCATATGGATGAACAAAGCATAATCAAATGTAAGGAAATGCATATAAGAAATATTAAAAGGACAGGTTCAAAGAAAGAAAAATACAAATGAGGTTAAAAATAAAGGCACAAA